AAACTGTTCTTTGCCTTCGAGTATCTGTAATTTTTATGAGAAGCATTTCATTCCATATATATTTGAATAGTTTACATAAATAAAGGATTTTCATTCCATTTCTATCTAATATATATATCATTATTAGATCAAGGCTTTATAGCTGAGATGGAGAGTTGCAGTTAAAATAGTCCACTTAGCAACTAAATACAAAGACTTAAGTCGTGTTTGTTAAATATACATTCTAATTAAAAAAACAACTGAAGTTAATATTAAGTGTTTTCCAGATGGATATTTCTAGCTGCCTTTCAAAACTATGGGTTTGTTGAATTAAATGTTGTTAAATATTTCAACCCATTCATTGACACATTTGATTGAACTATGGCATTAACTTACACACTCCTAAATATAATATAAGATATATTTATTCCCAGTTTTAAGAGATAATTATTAAATATAATATGTTGCCTGACATCAGTTATATTATTTTGTTAAGTCCAGTTAAATAAAACAATTTTTATCTTACATTAAGTTGTTTATTCTGTTGAGGTTTTGGTGAGTTTTGGATCCTAAGAAAAAATAGAATGATTTAAATGATGATGTCTGATTTTTTAAAAACAATCCTATCACCACATGATTCACAAAGATTGGATTTGGGCTGGAAGCTGTTTAAATATTTTATGACAGTGTGAGACAGCAACAGGACATCAATATCACACACACATTGAATGACTTTTTGCAAGCTGCTTCATTTTTAACATTTGTTGATCTGCTACAGATGATTTTTCTCCTCTAACCTTCTAAGTAATAAAATTACCTTTGCTTAAAGAGAGAGATGGAGAGGGGGGCGGGGGGTGGGGGGTTAATTTTAATGACCCCTGAACTTTTTCAACACTTTCAGGATTTATTCCTTTGAAGTTTTTTATTTTGTTTGTTTTATGTTTTATTTGGGAGCAGGTGGGCAGTGTTTTATGATGTTGTGTTTATGTGTGTTTGTGTGTTTTTATAATTAGTATAGAGAAAAGGCTGGGGCGATGATACTCTTGAATTTTTGTGCTGTAAGTGACGTCCAAAGGTTTTGAATAGGTGTGATGTCATATATGAATTAGATCAATGTGGTTCAGCTGACCAAATACTTGTGGGTGTCCATTGGTCATCCTTCATATTTAAACCTAAAGGCATCTATTTTAATGATTGCTCAGAAACTAAACCAAGCAGCCCCAGGAGGAAACAAAATGTTGCCATAATGACATGAATACATTTCTATGGGTTTGTGATTGTTGCAGAACAACTTGGAAGTAAATGTTAAACATTTAACACTTGGTTTACAAGGTTACATTACAAGGTTACATTACAAGATTACATTCAGGCTCACATATGCTCACCATAGCTAATATGTTACCTGTCATCTATACAAACATTTATAGACTTGGTAGAAAGAAACTCCAAACAATAAATGTGTACACATTAAGACATACTGTAGCACTAAGCTCACAACTGTTGTGAACACATTAAGACATATTGTTGCAATAATCTCACGGCTATATACTGCAACACTAAACTCACAACTTATGTGAACAGATTAAGACATATTGTAGCAATAATCTCACTGCTATATACTGTAGCACTAAGCTCACAACTGTTGTGAGCACATTAAGACATATTGTAGCAATAATCTCACTGCTATATACTGCAGCACTAAACTCACAACTTATGTGAACAGATTAAGACATTATAGCATAAAACTCACAAGGTATCTAAACACATTAAGACATTCTGGATCACTAAACTCACAATGAATGGGAACACATTAAGACATGCTGCATCACACAAAACGCACAACCAACATTGTCAACACATCAAGACATACCTCAACAATAAACTCACAACAAAATAAAAATGTATGTGGTTACTTCTGTTAACTGAAATACCTAGTTTAAATAAATGCACATTTGCGTTCTTAAAATACATTTGATTAAAATAGTACTGGCAGTGCTATCTCTATTAGTCTGTGTTAATGAAAGAAACAACAATTCTTCGTCCAAAATGTCTAGATATTGAACATGAAATTGAAAGGTTGATAAAAATGTGGAAGGACAAAAATCCATTAACTAACTATAATAGCAAATACATACATTTGATAATGCCAACCTCACAATACCCAGCCATAAAACAAAGTATAAAGATGTTGTATTCACTTTATAATATAGGGCTCTGTGCAAATGAATGGCAAGGAAATAATAGACCAAGTAAAATTATGGCAGTTATAAGTGACAACAGAATCACAGTTTGAACACAGTCTTGTCAAAAAGACATAAAATCATTTTAAAAATGTCATAAATTTCGCCATTGAGTTTGTGATCATTTTTCTTAACTTGGTATACCGCTATCTTGACAGATGAAAACCATTTACATATTTACACGAGTGGAGGAGAAACTTTTTTTGTACTGCTTTTCTTGTTCCAGAAACTATAAACTCATTGAATGTTAAAGGCAGATGTTCAATTCTGTACATAGATTTTCCATTTGACTGTCCTGGTGAGTCAAACTGCAGCATGGCATTAACACAGATTTTGCTATGGAGATGCCAGGCTTTGGTTCACAACCCAAACCCTGTGTTTACAACCCCAATCCTTGGTTTACAGCTCAAATCATTGGTATGCAACATCTCAAACACCGGGTTCACCTATCAAAACCTCTGGTTCATATCTCAAACTCTGGGATCACATAAGAAATGCTGGGTTCACATCTCCAACCCTGGGATCACACCTCAACATTGGGTTCACATCTCCAACCCTGGGTTCATGTCTCAACATTGGGTTCACATCTCCAACCCTGGGTTCACATCTAAACATTGGGTTAACATCTCCAACCCTGGGATCACATCTCAACATTGGGTTCACATCTCAACATTGGGTTCACATCTCCAACCCTGGGATCAAACCTCAACATTGGGTTCACATCTCCAACCCTGGGTTCACATCTCCATTCTTGGGTTCACATCTCCAACCCTGGGTTCACGTCGCAACCTAGGGTTCACATTTCCAGCCCCAGGTTGACATCTTCAACCCAGGGTTCACATCTCAACATTGGGTTCACATCTCCAACCCTGGGTTCATGTCTAAACATTGGGTTCACATCTCCAACCTAGGGATCACATCTCAACATTGGGTTCACATCTCCAATCCTGGATTCACATCTCAACATTGGGTTCACATCTCCAACCCTGGGTTCATGTCTCAAAATTGGGTTCACCACTCCAACCAAGGTATCACATCTCACAATTGGGTTCACATCTCCAACCATGGGTTCTTGTCTCATTATTGGGTTCACATCTCCAACCCTGGGTTCACGTCTCAACCTAGGTTTCACATTTCCAGCCCCAGGTTGACATCTTCAACCCAGGATGCACATCTCTAACCCTTGTTCACATATACAACCTTGGGTTCACATCTCCAACCTTGGGCTCACATCACAAATGCTTATTTCACATCTCAACATTGGGTTCACATCTCCAACCCTGGGTTCATGTCTAAACATTGGGTTCACATCTCCAACCCTTGGATCACATCTCAACATTGGGTTCACATCTCCAATCCTGGGTTCACATCTCACCATTGGGTTCACATCTCCAAACCTTGGTTCACTCGCAACCTAGGGTTCACATTTCCAGCCCCAGGTTGACATCTTCAACCCAGGGTTCACATCTCAAACCTTGGGTTCACATCTCCAACCCTGGAATGACTTGAAAGAATACATAACGAAACCACGTAGGTGTCCTTGTAAAAGCTTTCTCCAGAAAACATTATAACGGTAAAACATAACATTACAAGATAAAAGAACTTATCCTATAGAGCTGAAAGCTATGTATTGCCTGAGAGGCCTCTGTGAACTTGTTCCTCATACCGTAAAGCTGGATGTGTATACTGAGATGTTCCTCTCAGACCATACACAGGCGTAAAGCCACATAAACTGAGATGTTGTTCCTCTCAGTCTGTACACAGGCATCCAGCCACATAAACTGAGATGTTGTTCCTCTCAGTCCGTACACAGGCGTAAAGTCACATAAACTGAGATGTTGTTCCTCTCAGTCTGTACACAGGCATCCAGCCACATAAACTGAGATGTTGTTCCTCTCAGTCTGTACACAGGCATCCAGCCACATAAACTGAGATGCTGTTCCTCTCAGTCTGCACACAGGCATCCAGCCACATAAACTGAGATGTTGTTCCTCTCAGACCGTACACAGGCATCCAGCCACATAAACTGAGGTTGCTCCTCTCAGTCTGTACACAGGCATCCAGCCACATAAACTGAGATGTTGTTCCTCTCAGTCTGTACACAGGCATCCAGCCACATAAACTGAGGTTGTTCCTCTCAGTCCGTACACAGGCATCCAGCCACATAAACTGAGATGTTGTTCCTCTCAGTCTGTACACAGGCATCCAGCCACATAAACTGAGATGTTGTTCCTCTAAGACCGTACACAGGCATCCAGCCACATAAACTGAAATGTTGTTCCTCTAAGACCGTACACAGGCATCCAGCCACATAAACTGAGATGTTGTTCCTCTCAGTCTGTACACAGGCATCCAGCCACATAAACTGAGATGTTGTTCCTCTAAGACCGAACACAGGCATCCAGCCACATAAACTGAAATGTTGTTCCTCTAAGTCCGTACACAGGCATCCAGCCACATAAACTGAGATGTTGTTCCTCTCAGTCTGTACACAGGCATCCAGCCACATAAACTGAGATGTTGTTCCTCTCAGTCTGTACACAGGCATCCAGCCACATAAACTGAGATGTTGTTCCTCTCATCTGTACACAGGCATCCAGCCACATAACATAAGTTCAGTTTACCTTTTATTTGTGTAAATACATGTATACATTTTAAAATACATGTACACATTTTTAAATACATGTATACATTTTTAAATACATGTACACATTTTTAAATACATGTATACATTTTTAAATACATGTATACATTTTAAAATTATTTTTAAAAAATAATATTGCACTGTTCTAAAGAAAGCTTTTTGACACACAACGGGTTCGTTGTTTAGTTTTGTATTCTTTCACACTTCCGCCCGCCCCAACTTTTTTTTTTCTTTCTTCAGCACTTAAGAAAATTCATAGTAACGACTTCACCTTTGAAATAAGAAGAAGAAGAAAATCTGAACATACATAAAATGTCTTGTACTGCAATATTTTTAAGTCCAATTAGAATGGCTTGAACTTATGGAGTGCTTTATTGGGTGTTTCATATTGATCCTCTTTTTCCATGAGTAGGGGTTTGATGATGGAAATGCACAAACTTAATGATTGTATTGATTATTTATAACTATTACAAGGAGGAGAGATACCAGGTCTGTATTTTTTTTAGATTGATCAAGTGCCCTGTGACACACACAATGATGAAACAATAAGGTTTGCTATCTATATTTGAGAGTGTGTTAGGAGCGCAGTACGTGACGATGTCAGGGGAGTACTTGGTGCTGTTGGAGCCATCGCTTCCAGGGGGATACTAGCCTTCTCCTCGTCTGCTAGGGGATCTTTGTAGTCTTTGCGATGTCGCACTTTCCTGACCAGCAAGGTGACCACCGCTAAAAGGACGACGCCCAGCGCTGCAGCCAGCCCTACACCCAGCTGTGTCTTGCTGATCCGCACAATTCCATCGGCCTTCATCACCTGGACGTCCTGGCTAGTGGTGTAGTTGTTGCACTGAACGCGGTGGATTTGTTTGTACATGAGGCACACCTCGTACGTGGTCAGGGGCTTCAGCCCTGTGATCGTGCATTTGTGGATGGAACCATGCAGATTGATGACATCAAAACCACGGGATTGACTCTTCGGCCCATCTTCTTGGTTGGTCATGTCTTTGTTCGTGTCCAACGCCACTTCTTTATAACGAAGCTGGAATTCTGACATTTGAATGCGTGGGATAGAACCCTTCCAAGCTACTGTGATGTAGTCATTACCGACCTTAACATCAGAGAGTGTCAATGGCTTATTTTGAACCCTAACAAGAGTCGTTCTAAAATCCTGGCCCAGAGAGTTGACCACGTGACACCCGTAGGTACCACCGTCCGATGTAGTCACAGATTGAATGTGGAGTAATGTGTCACCGATCACCTTCACCGTATCGGTGTCTTGTTCTGACATCGTAGAAGAAGCGTTCAGCTCCCGACCGTCTGGAAGAACCCACGATACTAAAGGGACTGGAACCCCAAGTCCTTGGCACTCGAGCCAAAGTTCTTCTCCGACGCTGACGTTAACTAGTGCAGAGAACAACGCTATTGCGGTGGGCGGACATGTTTCAGAGAAGTACTGCATAGGTAGTTGGACTAGAGACATGCTGGAACTTCCTGCTGGGAAAAAGCAGGACACCCTATCCGGTTCGCTGATGAATGGGCCCGTAATGCTGGTGGAAGTTGGTGGAGCGAATGTTGTGTACGGCAGTGTGGACGTGTCACTGGTAATGCTAGAAGTTGGTGTAGATTGGGGCTTCTGGCCCGTCAGATTGTTGGATTTATAGTTGAAATGGTATTCGAAGCTTAGCTCTTTCCGAAGCCAGTAGATGTTACAGTCGCAGTGAAATGGGTTGTGGTGAAGGTGAAGGTCTGTGAGTGACGGAAGTGATGTCATGATCTGGCCAGGCACAGCCACCAGACCGTTGTTGTGGAGCAGCAGATGCCGCAGGTGGGGTAACGATGAGAATGCTGACGGGTGTAAATAGATGAGGCGGGGGTTGTCATGGAGCTGTAATGTCATCAAATTACTCAAGTTGTGAAAAGCTGATTGCTCTACAACCCTGAGTTTTGGAAGGTAACTGAGTGACATCTCTACCACAGCAAGGCTAGTGACACAGAATGGCTGCAGCCTTTGGACTGAAATCCCGTCCAGAAGTAAGATATTCAAAGCCGTCAAGGACTTCAAAGCTGCGCTGGGAACTTCCCGTAGGTTCGAATTTCCAGTGAGGTTCAGCATTTTGAGACGCACTAAGCCCGTGAAACTGCCGTCCTTGACCTCCTGTAGGGCATTCAGAGAAAGATCGAGCTGCTGCAGACGGCCGAGTTTATCAAACATGTCCTTGTCTAGCGTGGACACAAAGTTATTGCTCATGTACAAACTCTGTAGAGAAGTTAACGGTAGGAACCACTCTCTCTTCACTTGGTACAGCTGATTCCTATCAAGCCGCAGAACCTGAAGAAGATCGAGTCATATTAGATGCAACAATTCCCAATGTCTTAAACTACGTCAAGAATGTCAGTTCGACACGTATCATTACGCTGTTTGCTTTCAAATTGTTAAGTCAGTAATGACAATGAGTGAAATTAATCGTCATTAAAACTAGTCGTTATTTGTAAATCCATTGCTTAAATTAGACTTCCAGTACAAGTTGAAGTTGGCCAATTTACCTCCAAGTTAGTGAGCCCAGAGAAAGAATGCAACTCTAGCCTCTTGATGATGTTCCTAGACATGTCCAGCTCTCTTAGGTCACTCAGTCCACTGAAAGTCCCGTGTTGAAGAACTGTCAGAGCATTGTCAGCGAGGCTGTAGAAAACACGTAAAACACGATCAAGACAATTTTATCCATACTTTACAATAGTCAATAATGTTATCAAGGGACACAATCACATTATTGTTTTCAAGAGACATCACCTTCATACATGACAACAGGTTTACAACGGACGTAGTGTTCCCAAGGGGTAATATTTTATACCTTTTTCTTTAGCGATGTGTTGTAACACATAGTTGATTCTTGGTCTGCTTTCAATGCGTGTTTCTTGGAGACAGAGTTTGCTGTTATATATACTAATCCACGCATCGTTATTTCACATTTTTAAACTGAATGGAATGACTGACAATGTCAAGTTATTCCTGCCTTGGACTTTGTGCGGGAAAGAATCGTGCGCCATTTAAAATCCTTAGATTTTGTTTCGCAGTTTCTTTCTTTCTTTCTTTCTTTCTGACTGAGCTGGCGTGTAGCTTTTGATCTCTTTTAACTTGTAGTTATTTCATGTATCAGTTTGTTTTCGGCTAAGATCCCATTGCTACCAGGGCAAAGCTACGCAAAATAGTAAAAAAATACTATCTCTCCAATTCACCGTGTTAAAGACGATGTAGAAATATCTTATTGATCAACAATACGTAAACTTTAACTCCCTTAGTAAACCCCTACCCCCAAAATGCCCGAAAGAACTTCTAGAAAAAGGCCTTTATGGCTTCTTTATGGTAGAAGAGCCCAGTTTAAGAACTTTTCATTCTAACAATGTAACAAAATTGTACAATTATTAGTCTAACGCTGTCTATTCCGACTGAAATGGTACCAAGTGTATCTAGTTTTACACGGCAACCTAGTGTCTTTGTTCGTGCACATGAACAATTATAACTGAGAATGAATTTCTCAGCCTGATCAAGATGTGATTTTAAGCGAGCCCATGAAGTTCAGTTATTTGTTCAATATTCTCTGCATCTTTTAGTTGATGGGGGCACAAGAGATAAACAAGGACACATAGGGCGTCAATAAAATCCAACATTTCATCTACCGGTAACTGCAACTTGGGGACTTTTTCTTTGTATTCTGCTTTAATCTATGCCAGCTTAGAACTTGTCTATGGCACGTTTACTTCCCATGGCGGTATAAAATTGATTTCCATTTGTTTAAATTGTAGTAGTGTCCTAAATGAAATTAAACATTGATTATGAAAATCTACACCCACCTGAGGATCCTGAGCTTTGACACATGTTCGAAAAGCCAGTGGTTATCCAGCTGTCTGATCCAGTTATTGGATAGATCCAGTACCCTGAGCTCGGGCAGATACGGAAGAGAAGACATGTTCTGTAGCTTGTTGTGGGATAGGTCAAACACTTCCGTTTTATTCGGGAGCTCCCCGGGAAAGTCAAGTAGCCCACGGTCGGAGCAGTTGACTGTGGTCAGTTGCTTGGCGATATTTGTACGGAGATAGGCCCGCTCGTAGCAGACGCACAACTTAGGACAAACATGGACTGCATAACCACCTATTTCCTCGCCATCTTGGTTGGATCTTACGCTACCTTCATCATCAACCAGTCCAGCGTCGGAGTTAAAGGGCCAAACAGGTGGAGGAGACACGGTCCTCGACGCCCCTGCCATCACGACCAGGACTAGGCAGGCCAGAGGCGGCGTCATGACAGCCAGCAAGCGCGCATTGTTGTTTGGTTGAAAGGGTTGACCGGGCAGGTTTACGGTAGCTGGTTGGTGATTACATTGTGCATTGGTGAAGTGGCTCGCTGGTGCTGTTATGACGCTCGGGGCTGTTATGTATCCATGCCCCTAGCAAAATCGGCCCAAGCACTCGATATAATCCACTCTTGAGATCCATCTGTAATCGGGTCTTCACTTGTGTCTTGAATTCATATTCTCTCCTGCTTTAAGGCTGTCGACTTCTTGAACAATTTCATCGATTCCTTGTTGTTCACCTCATTGGCTGCTCTGCGTCTCTAGACATTTCTGAGGATAGCAAACGAGATATAGTTAATTAAAGGTGGTGGTACTTCTGTGAAATCATATATACCACAAATGTTCAAATGTTCCGTGTTTAAATGATCATTTGATGCAATGAAGAGTCGCCTTGTATACTTGCAAAACTTGTCTATGTTAAAAGGCGATAGACACATTACTGAGATCCACGTGGTTTAAGATGGTTTTATGCTACAAAAATATTCATAAAGTTGGTCCGTGGCGTTCACCCGACAGGCAATAGGGCTCGGTGGCCTTCACCTGACCGGTTATAGGGCTCGGTGGCCTTCACCTGGCAGGCAATAAGGATTGTTGGGAAGCAAAACAAAGATTTTTGTACTACATTTTTAAAGAGCCTATTCCCTATTCGCCGTCAGCTCAGCAGTTCGTTAGTTATTCTTCATATTTTGTGTACTTCATCCATATTATCAACTAGTGATGTGTGCACCTAAAACTGTTAGTGTTCCTTTGAGTTTTAAACGGGTTGCGTCACTAATATTATTTTAAATTATCCCATTTAAAAACCTATATGGGGTCGTCCATTGATTACGTTAAAAAATTTTACGCAATTTTTGACACACACACCCCCGCCCCCCCCCCCCCCCCCACTTAACCAATGCAACATTTTCTACCCCCCGAAAAAAAAAATTATAATATAAATAAATATATACATGCATTTTCATCAGGGACATCATTTGGGTAGGGCGGGGGGCATTTCCCCCACCCCCTCCCTGAATTTGCAGGTTTTATTTAAATTGCTGTGTACTGTGGCGCCTTTAGTAATAAACAACAAGCCGACTAAGTTTTGGTTTTTGCTCCCTACCCCCCTTAAAAAACGCTGGAATGACTCCCCTATGGGCATAGTCTATAGTAGCTGAATTATCATTTTCATCTTGCGGAACTGATAAACCAGGCAAGTCAACATCATCCTCATCTAACCATTCAGCACTTCAAGTGGTTTGACATGCAAACAGTTCTGGAATGGGTGGAGCGAATATGTATTTGTTTTTATTTTGTTTTTATACAGTAGTTTTTCTAAATAATAAAAGAGTGCTATTTTTTTAATGTCATGATTATGTTTGCTAAATTTATGTGCAGCGTGGTGAGCCCAGCCCTAGGCTGAGGTGCCGCGCTATATAAGACCACTGTAATAATAATAATAATAAAATAGAAGCGTTGTCAGGTGTGAGCAATAATTGCCATAAGCTCTCTCTATCTCCTCGCAGCTACTCGCATTGGTCGAATCCTTTTTTTTTGTTTGTTGAGGAGCAGGTGCTAATTTCTTATGCTCAAGAGGCATTGTCAGTGCTGTTGAACATGCTTTTTCAACATGACTTGTGATGAAAAATAGATGCTACAGATTTCGAAAATCCGTTCAAGCAGCGATGCTATTATTGTTACTCACTTTACTTTCCCATAATTCTCAAAATATCGTTTTCCTACTCCATCAGTACCATTTATCTTGACCGCACATGACACGTGAACCTTGTCCTTGTTCCATACCTGCAACATGATCGCAAACATACCGCCCTAGTCATTTGCGACAAATAGAATCTACAGGTGAAGAGAGGCCAACTTTTAACTTCTCTTGCACTAACAAAGTGTGCTAACTATCTGACCAGCCATCTACAGTGTATAGACTGACAAACATTAAAACAATCTTATATTGTTAAAAGCCTAAAAATTAACCATTCAATTTTTAAGATTAAAATTTTAATAGAGAAAACGTGATTGTTGACGTCAACTTATCTAAACCCCCCCCCTCCTCATCGTCAACAACTGTCAAACATTTCCAAACCCCCTCACCCCTATGTTGTTGGCGTAATCAATGGACGCCCTCTATAGGGTTTCAAGGGATGTGCTATTCATAAAAACTACTGACAAACCGGTATTACTGAACAAAACAACCATTTATGCAAATTGATTTTTTAAAATATCTCCCCCCCCCCCACACACCCCTGTAACGTTTTTGTTTAAAGAATGAAACCGAATTCAGATAATGAGAAGCTGATGTTGACATGTTGAAGCCAAACCGCTGCAAAGGTCTTGTTTATTGGCTAACTTGGTCTGATACACCGTTGGTTTTTTAATTTTTTTTTTTTCATTCTTAAACTTTTTAATTTGATTTTTGGTGTATTATATATTTATTGAACCCATTTCTAAAGTAAATCAACTCAGCTCAGAGATGTGTAAATTGCCCAGGTGACATTGCTAAGGGACACTTTGAACGTCATGTGGTGTAAGAGATGTGTAAATTGACCAAGTGAGATTGCTAAGTGACACTTTGAACGTCATGTGGTGTAAGAGATGTGTAAATTGACCAGTTGACATTGCTAAGGGACACTTTGAACGTCATGTGGTGTAAGAGATGTGTAAATTGACCAGTTGACATTGCTAAGTGACACTTTGAACGTCATGTGGTGTAAGAGATGTGTAAACTGACCAAGTGACATTGCTAAGGGACACTTTGAACGTCATGTGGTGTAAGAGATGTGTAATTTGACCAGTTGACATTGCTAAGTGACACTTTGAAAGGTCATGTGGTGTAAGAGATGTGTAAATGGACCAGTTGACATTGCTAAGTGACACTTTGAAAGGTCATGTGGTGTAAGAGATGTGTAAATTGACCAGGTGACATTGCTAAGTGACACTTTGAACGTCATGTGGTGTAAGAGATGTGTAAATTGACCAGGTGGCATTGCTAAGTGTCATGTTGCACGTTATGTGTTGCTGGTTAACCCAATATGGAAATGTGTTCACCAATCGTTGTTCTCTATGAGAAAAGTCACCACACGCCACTCATGACAACTTACCGTTCGGATAGCGAACCACTGTAAGTGTTCACTACTGCGGATGAACACTTGTAGCTAGCACACGACTAAGGTTCGCACTACACAGTGATGTCCTATAAAATGTTCCTAAAGCCCCAAAAATGGTAACGATGACACATTGCAGGTATATTTCCACACGACGAAAACTGTAGTAAAAACAGTCTTGCTTTAGTGGGTCTGGATTAGATGGAACTGTGTTAGTTGAAGATGTATCCAACTCGACCGTCCGCAACTTTAGTCTATGTCTGCTTCAACACAGACAGTATGATGGCATCTCAGTGAATGTCTGCTTCAACACAGACAGAAAGGAAAACGGGAGATAATAGATTAAGATATGCATCCTTTAAGTTTAAGGGAAGGTTTTATGAGGTCACTGAGTCCGCGGTCGTGTGTGTGTGGAAGGGGCAGACGGCAGTGGGGAATCTAAATTTTTCATTACATGGGTACATTTTAAAGGGCTACGCTAAATCTGTAAGGGAATTATAAAACTTGCGAAGAATGAAGCTGGTGTCCTGCAATCTTAGTCCCACACTGCAAACGTATTTCTTTGATTAGTCCAATACGGCCGTTGACAGTAAATGTGTTTAATATCTATAGTACTTCTGTGGATACGTTTCACACAGAACTCTAACATTACATTCGGTGTTGGCTGTTCACGCCAAAGATTGTGGGACCACTGACAGTAGGTTGCCTGTTCCTGCCAAAGATTAGGTGACCTCTGTCAGTAGGTATGTAAAAAGGCTTGCACAGTTAAAGTTACAGGGACTGCTTGCTCTAGTCAGTGATTATAATTATAGTACACAATGCTAATGGCGAGACAGGAAAATTCAACGTCAAAAGATGAAGCTGTTGAGGTTCTGTCATGTCACTGAGATGAGACTCTCTGTGTTAGAAGGTAACGAAGGATTACATGGGAGAGGCGTCACCTGCATTTAACTAAGCCCGGTTGTCCTGGTGGTAGGTAGAGCACACAATGTCAGTCTATTGGGAGATCTACGTGTATAATGCACTGTGTGAAACAGATGGGCGAATGGTTTCCGCCGTCACAGTCTATTGGTAGATTTAATTTGCTGTGTGGAACAGATGGGCGAATGGTTTCCGCCGTCACAGTCTATTGGTAGATTTAATGTGCTGTGTGGAACAGATGGGCGAATGGTTTCCGCCGTCACAGTCTATTTGTAGATTTAATGTGCTGTGTGGAACAGATGGGTGAATGGTTTCCGCCGTCACAGTCTATTGGTAGATTTAATGTGCTGTGTGGAACAGATGGGCGAATGGTTTCCGCCGTCACAGTCTATTGGTAGATTTAATGTGCTGTGTGGAACAGATGGGCGAATGGTTTCCGCCGTCACAGTCTATTGGTAGATTTAATGTGCTGTGTGGAACAGATGGGCGAATCATTTCCAATGTCACAGTCTGGCGGGAGATATAATGCACTGTGCGAAACAGATGGGCGAACCATTTCCAAACAGATGGACGAACAATTATAATTTCACAGTCTAACGGGATATATCATTATAATGCACTGTGCGAAACAGATGGGCGAACCATTTCCAAACAGATGGACGAACAATTATAATTTCACAGTCTAACGGGATATATCATTATAATGCACTGTTTGAAACAGATGGGCGAACCATTTCCAATTTCACAGTCTAAAAACGGGAGACATAATGCACTGTGTAAAATAGATGGGCGGATCATTTCCAATTTCAAAGTCTAAAAACGGGAGACATAATGCACTGTGTAAAATAGATGGGCGGACCATTTCCAATTTCAAAGTCTAAAAACGGGAGATATATTGTGAAACAAGATGGGCGAATCATTTCCCCAAAACAACTGCATCATTTATTATTATAATATAACGATCAATACAACATTATGTTGGCTGCTTACAGGAATTGTAACTCTATGATACACAATCATGGGGTTGTTGATATGTACGAACCGTAGCACAAGAATGGGGTTGTTCATAAGGCTTTAAGTTTAAGCCATCGGGACAGATCTCTTTATAGAAGTGAATAGTTCATCCAGCAGTAAATCAACTCATGGTAAGGTTGAATATTATAATTCGTCAACTGATTGAATCCCCCCCCCTCCCCAACCTCATACCCTATACCGGGTAACACTTTGTCTCTCTTATATTGAGGGCATTAGAGGCGGCATTTTTGGCTAACTGCAGAGTTTTTTATCGTGGCATAGGGGCGGCAATATCTGGTCCTGACCCTGGTGACACTAACCTTGGCTACGCCACTGCGCATCTCTATCACTAAGTCCAAAATTAAAGACAATAGTCACACTGTAAACTTTATCGTCAAACAAAGGGGATTTAGTATTCTTTAACTTAGATATAAGACGATGGCCATTCATAAAGTAATCTGGAATTCAGACGATTGAGATGTAGTAATATTTATTGAAAGACAAAAGCAGTAGATTGTAATCTTTAAACTTTAATCTCCAAGTCATAAGCCTATCATGCTATATAATAAGACAGCAACCGCCTGCAAGTCACATGAAACCACACAGCCAACGGAGCAAAGATACTTTGTCCTACTCGCCAGTGTCACGGTGTCCCGGTCTGACTGACACAGTGTCAGCATAATGGCATCAGTTTTCTTTGTCCGTACTCGCAAGCGCTCACCCTCTCTCGTCCCGGCTCATATCTCTTCAATAAGTCATGAGTTAACTTATCGATTAACGCTGGGCGGGTGGTGGGTGCTGTCCTTGGCCGCCAACATGATTGCAGCTATGGTCATGGTGTTACTCGGCTGTCAACATGGCTGCTGCTACGGTCATGGTGTTACTCGGCCGTCAGCACGATTGTCGCAATGGTCAAAATGTTACTCGGCCGTCAGCACGATTGCCGTAATGGTCAAAATGTTACTCGGCCGTCAGCACGATTGCCGTAATGGTCAAAATGTTACTCGGCGGTCAGCACGATTGCCGTAATGGTCAAAATTTTACTCGCCCGTCAGCACGTTTGCCGAAATGGGAAAATGTTACTCGGCCGTCAGCACGATTGCCGAAATGGTGAAAATGCTACTCGATCGTCAGCATGATTGGCGTAATGGTCAAAATGCTACTCCCCTGTTAGCACGATCGGCGTAATGGTCAAATGNAAAATGTTACTCGGCCGTCAGCACGATTGCCGTAATGGTCAAAATGTTACTCGGCCGTCAGCAAGATTGCCGTAATGGTCAAGATGTTACTCGGCGGTCAGCACGATTGCCGTAATGGTCAAAATGTTACTCGGCGGTAAGCACGATTGCCGTAATGGTCAAAATTTTACTCGGCCGTCAGCACGATTGCCGTAATGGACAAATGTTACTCGGCCGTCAGCACGATTGCCGTAATGGTGAAAATGCTACTCGATCGTCAGCATGATTGGCGTAATGGTCAAAATGCTACTCCCCTGTTAGCACGATCGGCGTAATGGTCAAATGCTACTCGACCGTCAGCACGATTGCCGTAATTGTGAAAATGCTACTCGACCGTCAGCACGATTGCCGTAATGTTGAAAATGCTACTCGGCCGTCAGCACGATTGCCGTAATGGTCAAAATGCTACTCGGCCGTCAGCATGATTGCCGTAATGGTCAAATGCTACTCCACCGTCAGCACGATTGCCGTAATGGTGAAAATGCTACTCGGCCGTCAGCATGATTGCCGTAATGGTCAAATGCTACTCCACCGTCAGCACGATTGCCGTAATGGTGAAAATGTGACTCGGCCGTCGACATGATTGCCGTAATGGTCAAATGCTACTCCACCGTCAGCACGATTGCCGTAATGGTGAAAATGCTACTCGGCCGTCAGCATGATTGCCGTAATGGTCAAATGCTACTCCACCGTCAGCACAATTGCCGTAATGGTGAAAATGTTACTCGGCCGTCGAAATGATTGCCACTGTCGCCCAAAATTTTACTCGACCGTCAACATGGTTAACAGTGTGGCCAAAATGTGACTTGGCCGTCAACATGGTTACCAGTGTGGCCAAAATGTGACTTGGCCGTCAACATGGTTACCAGTGTGGCCAAAATGTGACTAGGCCGTCGACATGGTTACCAGTGTGGCCAAAATGTGACTTGGCCGTCAACATGGTTACCAGTGTGGCCAAAATGTGACTAGGCTGTCAACATGGTTACCAGTGTGGCCAAAATGTGACTTGGCCGTCAACATGGTTGTTATTTGTTCACAATGTTACTTTGCCTACTAACATAATTACGGTATTGTTCATTTGTTACTCGACCGTCGACATGATTGCCGTTATGGTCAAAATTTTACTTTGCCGTCAACACGAGTGCCACCGTTGTCAAAATTTTTGCTTGACCGGCAACACGATTGCCACTTTGGCCGTCAACATGGTTGCCACATTGGTCAAAATTTAATTTTGCCGCGAACATGAATTGTCCTGCATTTTGATTTCATATATGGTCAAATTGCTACTTTTGCTCTTAACATGATTGTCGCTTTGGTCAAAATGCTACTTTTGCTCTTAACATGATTGTTGCTTTGGTCAAAATGTTACATTTGCTCTTAACAAGATGGTCGCTATGGTCAAAATGTTACTTTTGCTCTCAACATGATTGTCGCTTTGATCAACATGTTACTTTTGCTCTTAACATGAGCTAAAATGTTCTCACCTTTGGATTTCAAACGATTAATAAAGAAACTCTTGTTCAGATAGATAATAGCTACGCAAGCGTCTGTTTAGTTCTACTAGGCACGTTCTATGATAAACAGCACATCGATACCTGTACGCAAGCGTCTGTTTAGTTCTACTAGGCACGTTCTATGATAAACAGCACATCGATACCTGTACGCAAGCGTCTGTTTAGTTCTACTAGGCACGTTCTATGATAAACAGCACATCGATACCTGTACGCAAGCGTCTGTTTAGTTCTACTAGGCACGTTCTATGATAAACAGCACATCGATACCTGTACGCAAGCGTCTGTTTAGTTCTACTAGGCACGTTCTATGATAAACAGCACATCGATACCTGTACGCAAGCGTCTGTTTAGCTCTACTAGGCACGTTCTATGATAAACAGCACATCGATACCTGTCAAGGCCACGTGTGCGCTAGTAGTGACATCCAAAGATGCCCCCCCCCCCCTTCCCCCAAATTGTCTTACAATCTTTATAGACATTCATCAATTTCGTTTAAAACGCCATGCAACGTTTGGACATTTTTTCGTTGTTTGACTTTTTCCACATTTCAATTCAGCATTTACTCGTTTTCCTCCATTACACTATGCATATTTGAAAATTGTTGCCTTCAGTTCAGTCTTTATTTACTTCCTCTTAGATGGCCTCTTAGCCAGAGAGATGACATTTTAGGGGATCATTGTGCGTTCTTCACACTCAATGACCAAAGAGTATGTATCACGTGAAACTGCTGCGAGGTCAAGAAGTAATCCTATTCTCTGGTTTAGACCCCTCAAACCAATAGTTCGTATCGAAACCTTTCAAAGGACTGAACGGTTCAAAGGAAAAACGTCGATTCCCCCCCTCCCCCCTTTTACATTAAAAAAAATTCAAATCATTATTTCTATTGCATCAACTGCCACTTATCAGTCTTGTGGAATAGCCATTCTTCATCCTAGTGGCTGGTTTTGTCTTGTTTCGATTTGCTCTAGCCCTGAAGTGGCTCCATTCTTTCTTCTATTTAACTGTTGGTTGTCATTGTAGTGTTGTAGCTGTAGCCGCAGGCAATGCTGTTTTGCGCCACTCCATAAACGCTAATCATTGCCTCGTCCAATGTGAGGCCACATGTCATCTATTTATTGCTGCATTTTGATGCGCATCTTTTATTGACTAGGTGCAACATCTGATTGTAGGCTATAGTTCTTAGTAACCGTAGAGAAGAGCCGACATTATGTGCATAGTGTTTTTTAGATCTGTCTGTAGACAATGCCGTCATAAGACATGGGCACACTGGGCAGTTGCCCAGGTCTCACGCTTCCAGGGCCATCAAGTTGCCCATATTCAGTTGTACAGTGAGCCCCCTCCCCAAATCCCATCTCACGTTTTGCGAACAAGCCATCGGCGTCCTCTATTTTTGCTCCCTCTCCAATTAAAGGGGCAGTGCCTGCAACTTTTTGAATACTATTTTGGTTAGTGAATCTAAGGTCCCAGTTAACATACATACTTAAGCAAGAGTGTTAGTGGATCTTAGGTGCCAGTCAACAAACAGACTCAAGCAAGAGTGTTTGTAGATCTTAGGTCTCAGTCAACATACAGACTCAAGCAAGAGTGTTGGTCGATCTTAGGTCCCAGTCAACATACAGACTCAAGCAAGAGTATTAGTGGATCTTAGGTGCCAGTTAACATACATACTCAAACAAGAGTGTTAGTGGATCTTAGGTCCCAGTCATCATACAGACTCAAACAAGAGTGTTAGTGGATCTTAGGTCACAGTTAACATACAGACTCAAGCAAGAGTGTTAGTTGATCTTAGGTCCCAGTCGTCATACATACTCAAGCAAGAGTGTTAGTGGATCTTAGGTCCCAGTCATTATTACACATTCAAGCAAGAGTGTTAGTGGATCTTAGGTCACAGTTAACATACATACTCAAACAAGAGTGTTAGTGGATCTTACGTCCCAGTCATCATTACACATTCAAGCAAGAGTGTTAGTCGATTTTAGGTCCCAGTTAACATGCAGACTCAAGCATTACTGTTAGTGTAAACCCCAAACACAGATGTAACCGTACACGCCAGGTTGATCTGTATGTAACGTAAGCCTCAGCTAACTCCATATGCTAATGTCAGATGAATCATTCAACCTACAAACCATGTCACAATGACTGCACAAAATATGCTGTCAGTACCGGTCGTTTCAAAGTATTTTCTAATGTTGGTGACTAATAGTAGGGTCTGCTCTATTCTATCCTACATTACCGTTATTATACAATCCTGATTTTTTCCTTCTCCTAATGGAGATATGATCACATGTTAAAATTTAAGGCCTCCTGATATTTGTGAGATTCCTGTCCTAACAAACACATATCGCCTTGAAACTGAATACCTTCAACACATTATCTTTTCATTCAAGAAATGACATCTTAAAGAAGTAAAACAATGACGGACGTACTTTTTATGACTGACTTGACATCCATGCATGTCTACCGATGTAAGTGTGGTCGAGGTCTATACTACAGTAAGTGGGCTTGTCACAAGTGGGTCGAGGTCTATACTACAGTAAGTGGGCTTGTCACAAGTGTGTCGAGGTCTATACTACAGTAATTGGGCTTGTCACAAGTGTGTCAGTTATGTCGAGTCGATGAGTTTTGTACCAAGTGAACTCAGAGTTGCAGATCGATAGAGCTGTATTGGTGAACGGGTGTGTGTGTGCGCGTGTTTGTGTGAGTGTGTGCTTGTGTTAGAAAAAAAGGGGGTGGGGTAATTTATTCTAAAAACAAATCATTGACAGTTTTATGTTTGAACTATTTACATCGCGCTCGGTAGGTCTGTTGAAAAGTGTTGAATTGTACGGCTAATTATTGTATTGAGGCGATGGTGTCGTTACAGTTTGAGATCCTTGAATATAAGACAAACGGATGGAGTTAACAAGGGAGACAAATCGTGGCGTCCGTGCCGTAGCCAATTTGGGGGGGGGGGCAGATGTCCCCGGACGCCAGACTAGTAAGGGGGTGCCAAAACTGGCTCTGGTGGTATTTTTTTATTTTTTTTATTGATGAGCATATTTGGTTTCAGAGTTGATTGGGGCTTAAAAATGAATCTTGTCCCCGAGCTCTTAATACCATGCTTACGCCTCTGCATGGGGTCATCTCTTCTTAACTAGCGAAATTTCTTTCATGTGTTCTTTTTCAAGTTCCCAAACATTCATTATTTCTTCATAATATTGAATATTAATTCACCTATTTCCTTCTAATCTGACAAGACACTGAGTGTGATGATATCATCACATATACACATAGTGTTGACATCGTAGTGGTCAACTTTGGAATGTCTTGTAGTGCACATTTTGCAACATCCAACAGCACGTCCAGGTGTGACGTTACTTCGGCAGTTCGTTATCTAGGTGGGATTATCAACGGTAGGATGTCCCAGATGTCTAATACATAGCTATATGTGTATATGTTTGTGGGTTTGTTTGTGGATTTGTTTGTTTATTCCACAGAGACTTTAAAGTGGATTGATGAAGCGTGACCAATAATTGGCACATATTTCCATCATTATCCGAAAGGAACTCTTAGGGAGTTATGAACATTTTATAACATTCCGTTTGGGGCCGGGGGCCCCGAATTCGTTTTATTTCTAATATGAGCTAAATAATAAAATAACCAACAAATACTCTTAAATGGATTGATAGATCTTGACCAAACTTAGTACACATACACTTGATTATCCATATTCAAATACCGATGATTATTTAACTCCTAATATACATTCCCATGGGGCCCGGCCCATTTAATTTTTCCTCATAAGCTATATAAATATCACTAGGCTTAGAAAACACAACTCTATGTGAATTGATGGCTCTAGGCCTGGCTTGGTAGCAAAAAGTTCGATAATTCAAAAAGCTGTATCTATGATATTTTTAAATAGATTTAGATGGACAGATTTTAAATTTTACTACATTTATTTATCTGAGTGACTTGAATAAAGGGGCCCCCCTATTTCAGCCAAAACTAAAACGGGAACTTATTGGGGGGGGGGCTCTTTTACCTTAAATGAAAAATGGTTAGAGTTATGGCATTTAGTTGTAGAAATTTTCGTATTTGATTGGACCCCATCGGGATTGGGGTCCCAATGGGGTCGGGATCTCAATTGGGTCAAAATCTCAATGAGGCCAGGATCACATTTGGGAAAGGGATTCCATCGGGATCAGGAAGCCATCAGGATCCCAATTAGTTCGGAGTCTCAGTGGGGTAGTGATCCCATCGGGATATGGGATCCCATTTTGAAAAGGGATCTCATCGGGATCCCATTGGGGTCGTGAATTTCATGTGTTCAAGATCCCAATGGGGCGTGATCCCAATAGGAACGGGATCCCATCGGGATAAGGGATCCCATTTGGAAACGCGATCCCAATCGGGATCTCAATGGGATATGGGTTCCCAGTAGGACCGGAATCCCATTGGAAAATGGTATCCTACTTGGAAACGGGATCCCTTTGGGGAACGAAAGATTTATAAAAGTTATTTTAAATGTTGTTTTATAGGAGACCAATTAAAACTTTTTTTTATTAGAAGGGTGTTTTTTTTTTTTTTTTTTTTTTATTTGGCGCTTATTTTCAATGTTTATTAAAAGACTGCAGAAGTTGTTTTTCTGAATGCAATCCCGTGCAACGCCGGGCATATTGTCTAGTATATATATAGATATGTGTGTGTGTGTGTGTGCGCGTGTGTGTGCGCGCGTGTGTGTGTCTTTTGTTTCTGCGCAGAGAAAGTAAATTCTCATATTGTAATGTCATCAAAAACTATCTCATCCAAAGCCGTTCAGATAATTAACGAACGGTTTCAAACGCTTGAGACTCACTGAATTATTAGAGTGGAACTGTTTGCAATGCACTGTTTTCTGCACACAATATTCATCCGCCACTAAAGGCCGTTACAATAAAATGTTAGTAATGAGAACGAAAAAAGGCTGTGTGTGTGGCCCGGTGGGGGGGGGGGGGCGGATTGAAGACATTGACGCGGTAGTTACTGTAAGTTGTGCTTGATAGCGCGGAAAGACGCGGCGAAACAAGGACAGAAAGAAAACCGTTGGGGTCACGCTGGGCCTTCTGGAGCCGTTGGCGCCACTTTGTGACGTGAGCACTTGTGCCGGGTTTGTTGTGGTTGTTACTGAAAGGCGGGCCTGGGCCATGTTCGCGTGCCCTATCACATGTTTTAAATATACAGTCTGGCACGCGATCGTGACAGACTGATTCTTGTTAGTAGGTCAACAGTTTGATGATGTCGTTATGGCCGTTAGTTTTAATTTCTTACATTTATAAAGGTATGCTGTCGTGTTTCCTTTTTTAATTTTGAGAGGGCTCTTACCAATTGGTCTTTTGGATTGTTTTCCAAAACGGACAGATTTTTTTTTTTTTAATTGTCAAGGTTCACTATATGTGAATACACATAGCTCTGTAACACGCGATCTACCATAAATCATAGTTCACTCATGTTTTAATTTATCATTTAGTATGTGATTGTAATTAATACAAGTGAACTGAGCAGAGGAAACACCTATTCGTAAAATGTATTATATCAGCTCTATCTCCCTTAACTCCCCCCCCCCACCCAACCCAAACCCAAATGCTATGGCACACCATGAAGTCAAAGGCTTAAATAATTAGTGTTTAAGAAAAATACAAAATTCCAAGGATGTACGTACGTATTTATCATTTAGTATGTGATTGTAATTAATACAAGTGAACTGAGCAGAGGAAACATCTATTCGTAAAATGTATTATTTCAGCTCTATCTCCCTTTACTCCCCCCCCCCCACCCAACCCAAACCCAAATGCTATGGCACACCATGAAGTCAAAGGCTTAAATAATTAGTGTTTAAGAAAAATACAAAATTCCAAGGATGTACGTACGGGATGCCAGTGAATTTTTGCCTGGCCACATGAACCCTTATTTCAATTTGACAGAGAACTGGGAGGTACAAACAAATTTCTCTGACATGAGTGTAAAGTAGTTTCAATCACCTTGAACGTCTGCTCTACCTATGGATTCACTGGAAATGTTTAATCTCTCCGTTCACAGAGCCTTTGAGGTTTAAATAACTTTTCAGTATTTTTTTTTCTTCCTGAGAAATAAAGTTAAACACAAAGTCGTCATCCAACAATCGCAGTGCACATCTTACGCCTAAAACACCGACGCGTTGAACGCCACTTAAGGGCACCACTGCATTCGTCTTACGTTACCAGCAAATACAGTGCACGTGCAAAACCAACAGATTCGATTGCGTCACTCAAGTATTCACCTTAACATTTATAAACGAAGATCTTAAATGTGCTGTCAACGAATCAAATAGATCCATAATCGCCATAGAAGGCGCCTGTGCGGCTAAGCAACCAAATAGGAAATAACAAAATTCCTGTGACGTTTGTATCCTTCCATTTATTTTCAAAGACGGATCTACATGAACGACACGCGATGTTGCTGGTCCAAAAATATAGGACAGTATTTACAATCTAACTATAACATAACACAAGACAACACGTTTATTTCCGCTTAATGAACCGAGAGGGTATCTCGAACTTGAGTGTATCCGGATGTGTATCGATTGCTTGGTATCACGGAAATGGCCAAGGTCACAATCACTATTGCAGTAGTAAAATAGATCGTTAGAGCGGCAAGAAAATATCAGCGAGATCGATACCACCTGTAGTGTCTTAGGGGAGATCTAGTTCAAACGTTTGTCGTTAGGGCGTATGGGGGGGGGGCCTGGGTCCCAGCATTGATGTCAGGAAACAAGGTTATTATCGGACATGAACGACACATTCAATAATAATGGGACATTCACGAATTCCTTTTTGATATTTGATCATTTCATTGCCGCTACTTGTTCATCCCAAATTTTTATTGGTGCATCCTAGAATTAAATGAAATAACGGAAGTTTTGTCCAGGGGGCACGGCAAACCATTGTGTAAGCGTGATCGGAGAACTGTTTAGCTTGGGTGGGGGTCGTGGAACCATTATGCTAGGGCAGGCCACCACAACTCAAAATGTAAGGCGGGCCGTAATACTTTGTGAAAATCGTGTGCGGGCCGTAATACGTTATGAAAAACTTGTGCGGGCCGAAAGAGAATAGGACAGGGGGAGAGCTATTAAGAAAATAATAATAATAAGGAATATTTCGCGAGCCGCCAAGGGGGTGCTGGCGGGCCGTATATGGTGCAGGCCTGTGCTAGGGGGATCGGGGAACTATTGTGCTTTGGGCATTGGAAACTATAGTACCAGAGGATCGGGATATACTTTCGGGGATCGGGATACTATTGTGCTGGGGGATAGGGAACTATAGGGCTTGGGGATGGGCAGCTTTAAAGGTTGCAGTCAGTTTTCACTCATTGTTATCTAATTAAGGCTTCAATAACAGAGAACGTTGATTGAGATCAATGAATTTGGTTAATTGTTGCGATAACAGAGAAGATGGTGATTATTTCAAAGACAGACAATATGGTGATTATTTCAAAGACTGACAAGATGGTGATTATTTCAAAGACAGACAGGATGGTGATTATTTCAAAGACTGACAATATGGTGATTATTTCAAAGACAGACAGGATGGTGATTATTTCAAAGACTGACAAGATGGTGATTATTTTAAAGACAGACAAGATGGTGATTATTTTAAAGACAGACAAGATGGTGATTATTTCAAAGACAGACAAGATGGTGATCATTTCAAAGACTGATAAGATGGTGATCATTTCAAAGAGAACCAAGATGGAGATTATTTCAAAATCAAAGACAGAACAGATGGGAATAATTGAATGACAGAAAATGATGTGAATATTCCCACTTACAGACCATTGAAACGTTACTAGTATCTAAGCAACTTCACGTTCATTCATTGAATAGACTTTTCGGCCAACTTAATTTGGTTACTATAGTAACAGTTTAAACAGTTCACAAAACTCTTGTTTGAATTATATTGCTAGCATATTCTTTTATCTGTTATTTACCTGAAGGGTTTAGACTAGAATTGTTAAAGGCCAGACTATTGCAAGGTATTTATATTCTATAATCAGATCGAACATTATTGAAGACCACATTATCGTTAGCAAGTGACATTATTACGTTTTGTTGAAACAATTTGGAATTATTAGATTCGACCTTTCCAGTCCCAGGACACCCATGCTGGATACCCCATCAAGTGTTTAACAAATGGTCCAAATGGAACGTGTCTTGATTAAAATGAGCTCTAGTAAATAAACCTCTTGAACCGTCTGACTTTTTGACGTCCTCGCGGCCCTGCTTTACCCAAGTAACACTGCATTGCCAAGTATGAGGCGTTTAAATCACTACACGACATTAATCAGCTGCAATTACATTTTTACACACACATTGGTTTGATTTCATGCCGTTTCAACTGTAACACAACGTGCCATCAAGGCGCATGCCAGCAGTGGACAACTTAAATTCAAACTTTCTTTGGTTTTTATGAAGTGCTTTGTTTTGATGTTGTTGTTGACTGAGGATCGGCGTCAGCACGATAAGCCAGTATGTATCATACTGCGAGGCCTTACACACACACAAACAAACACACACATACACTGCTATGCCTCTCTCTCTCACACACACACACTACGATGCCACACACCCACACATACCATTCCTCACACAAACTCGCACTAACGCTTAGGAATCCACTCGCCGTGATTAATTGGCTTTACATCCGGAAATCTGGTCTGAATTGTTTTTTGTCTGAAGAAGCAAGGAAGAGGCCACAAAGAGAGAGAGAGAGAGGGGGGGGGGAGAGAAGAGAGATTAGTCGAATAATAATGAGCTTGTGGCGACTAGTTCATTAATCTTGGACTGCAATTTGACATGATGGGTTCATTAGATGTATTCAAGTCGTCTGTGTCAGGGGTTCTCATCTGGAATCTGGGTCAGGCACTGGTATCAATACCTCCTCAACCCACACACTAACACCCCAATCTGGCCACTCCACTACCTACCCTCCCTCAATCTACCAATTCCACTACCTCCCCCAATCAACCCGCCCCCTGCTACCTACCATTTCCCAATCAACCCACTCCGCTACCTGCCCTCTCCAACGCCCCACTCCTTACTACTTCCTGCCCCCAATCACCCCACTCCACCACGTCCCCACCCCATCCAGAAGTTTGTTTTAGCCATGGACATCGTCACTGACGAGCCCTTGACGTCATCCATGTAGCGCCCCGTTCTAACTTTCCGTGGTCTGGTTAGAACAGTGGTTCCCCAAACGTTTAAGTTTGGCGGACCGGTGAACAAGTTTCGAAATTTTACCAGGGAACGGTGCATGATTTATTTTTATACTTTTATTTCTATTTGACAATAAATATTTATGTTATGGGGACCGACAGCGTTAGGCATGCGGACCGGTGAAGGTCCACGGACCGCCATTTGGGAGCCACTGGGCTAGAACCAAGAAATGATGTTTTGTATTTTGGCATTTACGTCAGTTGTCATTGTTGACCAAAATCAAATAACATTTATGTTATCCCGTAGTGCCCCAATAACATTTATGTTATCCCGTACTGCCCCAATAACATTTATGTTATCCCGTAGTACCCCAATAACATTTATGTTATCCCGTAGTACCCCAATAACATTTATGTTATCCCGTAGTACCCCAATAACATTTATGTTATCCCGTAGTACCCCAATAACATTTATGTTATATGTTATCCCGTAGTACCCCAATAACATTTATGTTATCCCGTAGTACCCCAATAACATTTATGTTATCCCGTAGTACCCCAATAACATTTATGTTATCCCGTAGTACCCCAATAACATTTATGTTATCCCGTAGTGCCCCAATAACATTTATGTTATCCCGTAGTGCCCCAATAACATTTATGTTATCCCGTAGTGCCCCAATAACATTTATGTTATCCCGTAGTGCCACAATAACATTTATGTTATCCCGTAGTGCCCCAATAACATTTATGTTATCCCGTAGTACCCCAATAACATTTATGTTATCCTGTAGTGCCCCAATAACATTTATGTTATCCCGTAGTGCCCCAATAACATTTATGTTATCCCGTAGTACCCCAATAACATTTATGTTATCCCGTAGTACCCCAATAACATTTATGTTATCCCGTAGTACCCCAATAACATTTATGTTATCCCGTAGTACCCCAATAACATTTATGTTATCCCGTAGTATCCCAATAACATTTATGTTATCCCGTAGTACCCCAATAACATTTATGTTATCCCGTAGTACCCCAATAACATCTATGTTATCCCGTAGTACCCCAATAACATTTATGTTATCCCGTAGTACCCCAATAACATCTATGTTATCCCGTAGTACCCCAGTAACATCTATGTTATCCTGTAGCGTTTAGATGAACGTTTTCCCAAGAGCGGTCGATGACTAATAGTTTATCCTCAGGAGATTTTAAAGAAATGTCCATGACAAATAATTGTATTTGTTTTTCTCCTCTCCGTTGCCGTGAGAGACTTCACCCGTGTTTGTTCCTTTCATGTCTTGTATTTAATGGGTACGGCGCATAGTCATTTAATCTAAATTGATGCATTTGGAGGGGGGTGGGGGGGTTGTTGAACTAAAAAGGCAGTATCCGAAACGTTTAAAATTTTATTTTGTCCTTAATGAAAGCTTAAATACTGTTTTTGCTTACAGTTGACGACAGAAACTGTTTGTGTCTTATTGAAACACTTCAACCTTTAGGGCAGTCCAACCCTCCATAGTTAGTATTAGTAGGTCACTTGAAGTAGTAATTTGTCCAGTCATACCTTTACTCAAAGTTTTTGGGATTAAGACCAGCGTTTAATTGCCACTCATCTAATGTAATGATACTAAACATGATACAATTCTAACGTTATTACATCTTTGATTTTGGCATTTCCTACAAGCATGTATATTTAACCATAATAGCAAATTAAAAAGTAACAGAGCATCTGTTTATGAATAGGAAGAAAGAGTATAAGTAAGAGCATAGCTCACAATCTTTGAGCACATTGTAAATGGCCCCCCACCAAGTGACATAAAAATTAATTTTATTGGAATAGAAAACAGTAAGATTGCATTGTTGTATCAAAGTGGTCTTTGGGACCAACAGTTTGTCTAGCCCTCGATTCAACTACTGAACAGTGACATGAGAGCAGCTGGCATTCAGCATAGGGTTGGAAATAGACCTGCCATGCCTACAGTATTACACTACAACATTGAGACATAGAACTAGACCTGCCATGCCTACAGTATTACACTACCAACATTGAGACATAGAACTAGACCTACCAAGCCTAGCATTATTGCACTACCAACATTGAGACATAGAACTAGACCTGCCGTGCCTAGCATTATTACACTACCAAAATTGAGACACCGAATAGACCTGCCGTGCCTAACAGTATTACACTACCAACATTGTAACATAGAACTAGACCTGCCGTGCCTAACAGTATTACACTACCAACATTGTAACATAGAACTGGACATGCCGGGCCTAACAGTATTACACTACCAACATTGTAACATAGAACTGGACATGCCGGGCCTAAATGTATTACACTACCAACATTGAGACATCGAATAAGATCTGCTTTGCATAGCATTATTACACTACCAACATTGAGACTTTAAACTAGACCTGCCGTGCCTAGCATTATTACACTACCAACATTGAGACATAGCATTAGACCTGCCATGCCTACAGTATTACACTACTAACATGGAGACATCGAATAGACCTTCCGTTATATGACTATAACTTTTTACGTATTAAATTTTTTTTAAAAATAGATGTCAGGCTTCATTGTTAAAATGAAGTTTCGTATTGTTTTCCTTGTTGGGCCACCTGTAGCGATTTCAGAAGTGGACGATCTGCAAACAAAAGTTGTTGCAACATTTCAGCAACGAAATACTTCATACGAAAAATGTGTATTTCATTTACTTGTCGCCCAATAACCCTGTCACGCAATAACCATTTTTAACGCTCCCATCTTTTTGAGGAAATGCTGTTTCACACTACACCTGTCATTTTCCCCCTCTATTCACTTTCACATATCAAAATGATTTTGACAAATATCATACTCCTTCATACAAATATCATACAAATATTATCATACTCCTTCAGCTTGGGATATCATTATCAAAATTACTCTATTCATGTCTGAAACTGAAACCATTATTTCTACTATTAAATTACGCGTATCTTAAAGCAATACAACAATTCAACATGATTTTAAATTAAAAATAGGAGCTGTTCAAACTATTATACATAAAACGAAGAGTGCTTCAGTCTATGGGTATAACTTTGTGCTGTCACGCATGACCCCCTCGTTCGGTCGATTCAGTCTTCCCTTGGGCTGATCTGTAAGGTCGCATCTGAGTTTGGTCTGGGCATGTCGGTCATTAGTCTCAGAGCAACGCAGGTCTCGTCAACAGGGTTAAAATAAAATTTTAATACTAGCAAGTAGCACATTAAAAAAAATAAATAATTAAATGTTAGACTTTTTTTTAAAGACTAGTTGAAACGCACTACCCGAATTCAAAGAAAGTCTGTGCAGAAAATATTTTAAACAAATTATTAAAAATAAGACATAATTAAGTTTCGTCTACATTCATTTGGATCCCTTGACTTACATAAAGTGCTCCTCTACACAATTGTCACAAATGACTGGGGCGGGGGTACAGGACAGAGCTCCATTGTTGTTTAGGTAACTTATAGGATGGAAGGAAACTGCTGTTAATGGGGTTAAGTTAAGGTTAATAGGCTCTCACATCTTGATATAGTGGGGGATTGTTTCTTTGGATAATAGTATGTTCGGGTTTTCCAGACTTCGCATGATAATTTCTGGGTTAACAATGGGAAGGTCTAATTGACCGGAAATTAGAGGGCATGGGTGTGTTTATAGATAGCATTCCTGGACCACCTATGGGGGGTAGAGAACCACATATAAGAGGGAGCTTTCACTGAGTTAGGTTAGTTGAGGGAGAGTGAACAGAGGTACGACGAGTTGAGGAAGAGGGAAAGGAGCGACAGTAGTTAGTTGAGGAAGATAGAGAAGAACTACGGATTAGTTGAGGAAGAGAGAGAAAAGAGCTACGATAGAACTGAGCAGTTGTTAGGGAATACTTGCTAGAGACCAGAAGACGACAGATGACTGGAAAAACGTATATCTTACCAATAAACACTTTCATTATCGTTGGACACCAGAAGTTTTGAGTTGTTGCATTTCGTCCAAGTCTACGTTGTGCTTTTGTCTGTCTCAACGCCTAGACACCCACAATATAAATCACAGAGAGGAGCGGTCCTGTACTGACCACTACTAAGTCAACATAGTTTGTGTTAAGTCAGGACCGGAGCCCTCCTCCGTAACAACCGTTCTGTGACATCTGGGGGCTCGTTCCGGGGTCTAGGCAACAGGAGATAGACAAAGCTGACGTAATAGAGATAGAGAACAGACGTCCCTAGGATTCAACAGGTGTGAAGGGAAACATGACGTCAGTGTTGTGCAGACAGTCGGATTTCTGGAGACCAGCAGCGTACCACCAAGTGAAGCAGTGTGACGCACCACTTTGCTACAGGTGCCATCGTGCAGGTCACATTGCTAGGTACTGCACTAACGCACGGCGGTGTTACAGATGCTACTCAACTGGTCATCTGGCTCGAGATTGCTACAACGAGCGCCGGTGTTTTCGTTGTTATGGAAGTGGACACCTAGCCAGAGACTGCGAACGGCCACGGGTCTGTTTCAGCTGTTTACGACCAGGCCACACCGCCGTGAGGTGTCAATTTCAGGGGCGTTGCTACAAGTGTCACCAAAAGGGGCATGTCGTGAGAAATTGCCCAGCCGTCCGTGACACGGAGGAAGATAAAAATTCGAGTTGCAGAGATGTGAAAACGGTATCCACGTGTTTCAGATTAGGACAGGAAAAGAAGTGTATAGAGAAGAGAGAGAAGTCTTTAGTAAAGAAGGATAACAATAGCACACGTAAAATTAAGTACGAAGAAGAAAAAGGAAATGATAGTGAAGATGAAATTCTAATAGGAGGAATTTCTATTGGTGTCGGAGTGAAGGAAAGTGTATTTGGGTTAGTTGAAGACCAAAAGGTTAAAGTGTTTAGACATTATCTGTGTAGTGATATAGTGGTTAGGAAAGACTTAGTTGATGACAGTAAGTTGACAGGAGAGAGATGTACGGTTGTTCTATTGAATGATGCAAGGCTAAAAGGAGAGAAGGCTATAGTCACGATCAGCACCCCATATATTTCAGGAAATATTAAAGTAGTGTGCATTCCCGACATAGTCTATGATATAATAGTGGGGAAAGTTCTTTAGCACTCATACTGTTAGGATGTGAGCGGTGCATATCTGAAGGTGGCACAGATAAACAGTTAAAAAGTGTTTAGTTCAGTGTGAGGATAATCTCCATATCGTCATCAAGGAGGCTTCCTCAAAGAGACGTTAGACTTGTTTTTAAGACACTAGTAAATTTAGTTAATTTAGCTGTGTTATCTTTATTTGAGTTTCACACGTGCATTTTTTTTTTAAACTTGTGTAGTTAAAGTAATGCTAGTGATGAGTGTAATCATGTGTTTTAACAGTTGTGGTTAGGGTTAAACATTATGCTTGATTAATAATATGAGCGAGTAGCTGCCCCTGGGCTATTGTTAAGAAGCCAGGTGGGCAGTAAGAGGTCATGTCTTAAGGACAGGGCACACTGGGCCTTGATAATGGCAGTGTGTGTGGATTAGAGTTTAGATCTAGTTCTGTTGGTTAGTGATGTCATAACGGCAGAGATGTTTGTTATGGACATTACGGGTACTCGTCTATAACAGACCGTGCAGGGCACATGATGGTTTGCGGTGTAGACGATGTGTAGACTGTAGAGTGTCAAAGATAATGGTTATTAGTGTTGTTGGGTTCATAATTTGATAGTAATAGTTGTATGGCTGTTCTACACTTAGTGATGGTGAGACAGCATTAGATAGTTAGCGGTCTACTCTTAGGGAAGTGTGATGACAGCACTAGATGAAGAGTTAGGTTTTGGATAGCATTAGGTGAATGGTAAGCCTTCATTACATAATGCGTAGAATAGCGTGGGATGGAAGCTATAACCTGCACTGGGTAATGTGTAGAGTAGCTTGAGATGGTCAGCTGTAGCCTACACTGGGTAATGTGTCGGACAGCATGGTTAGGTCAGCTATTTCCCACACTGGGTAATGTGTGGGGTAGCACGGTTGGATCAGCTATTGCCCACACTGGGTAATGTGTGGGGTAGCATGGGTAGGGCATCTATGGTTTGCACTATGTATGTGAGTTAGAAGTGGGTATCATTCAACCCGATCAGTGGGTCATGGGATCAGAGAAGGAGATTAAGACTTAAGGTATAAGTCTAATTGCTGGTATGATAGTAGTATAAGTTATCGTGTTAGACACACTTTGTTCTGAGATTGAGATAGTTTAATGAGAGATCAAAATGTTTGGATACGTATTTTGTTTAGTCTTTTAAGTTACAATGTTCATGTTGTTATGGTCAATTATTGATTTCGTTAATTACTATTGACATATGCATGATGTTGTGTGTTGCTATTTTTAATTTTGTTTGTAAAACTGAAGATGATGATAGATGACAATAGACTCGACGACGCACAGAGTAAGGGCTTGACGCATGGGATGGTGTGATGTGTAGAGTTGTAGGTTGGTCATTTGTGGAGTTTTTTAAAATTTGTCAATATTTTGAAAAATTTCTTGAAGGGGGGGCATATGTCACAAATGACTGGGGCGGGGGATACAGGACAGAGCTCCATTGTCGTTGAGGTAACTTATATGATGGAAGGAAACTGCTGTTAATGGGGTTAAGTTAAGGTTAATAGACTCTCGCATCTTGGAGATAGAGGGATGTTTCTTTCCAAAGCATTATGTCTCGGGTTTTCCAGACTTCGCGTGATAGTTTTTGGGTTAACAATGGGAAGGTCTAATTGACCGGAAATTAGGGGGCATGGGTGTGTTTATAGATAGCATTCCTGGACCACCTATGGGGGTAGAGAATCACATATAAGAGAGAGCTTTCACGGGGTTAAAGTTAGTTGAGGGAGAGTGAACAGAGGTACGACGAGTTGAGGAAGAGGGAAAGGAGCGACAGTAGTTAGTTGAGGAAGATAGAGAAGAACTACGGATTAGTTGAGGAAGAGAGAGAAAAGAGCTACGATAGAACTGAACAGTTGTTAGGGAATACTTGCTAGAGACCAGAAGACGATAGATGGTAGAAGAAACTTATATCTTAGAAATAAACATACTTTCATTATCGTTGGACACCAGGAGTTTGAGTTGTTGCATTTCGTCCAAGTCTACGTTGTGCTTTTGTCTGTCTCAACGCCTAGACACCCACAATATAAATTTTTGATAAAAGTTAAAAAATTTTAAAAATATTTATGTATTCTCTGTAGTTCTTTGTTTACCGCGAGTTATGTCAGCTTCTAATAATAACATTGGCCAGATATATAATTTATATATATATATATATATATATATATATATATATATAATTTATATGGCTATTACTCTTTACTTATTAATATATATGTTATATATATATATTAAACGTTAGATGTCAGGCTTCATTGTGGTGAAGGCTTTAAGTAAACAACAAAATAATTGTTTGAAAATGAAGTTTGATATTGTTTTAGTTTTTTGGCCACCCGTGGCGATGCTATGGTATAATGGTATTGCCGCCCGTCAGGAAGTTAGACAATGAATGCTGATGTACACTTTAGGAAGCCAGCAGACATAGAGTGGTGTGCTCCTGTGGCTATCAAATCCAACGTAAAGACTTACTTATATAGAATGAAATACGTCACTTGGATTCACTCACCTGGCAGTAACTGCATTTGCGCATTGCATTTAAGGGAACTATAAATAAAACGGCTGTAGGACAATTTAGGATTTCTAAGAATGGCAGTACAATCAAACTTGAACTGTCTCAAATCTAACTATTATGGGTGATAAAACTGTGCACGAAACTGTGTGCCTCAACCATTGGCGTAGCGATACATTGCGATAGACCATTATTAGGTAAAAGAGTTAGTAAAGATAATAGGGGATGAAAGAGATGAGACGTAAGTCCACGGCGATTGGTTGTAACAAGGAGGGCGGAGTAAAGATTTAAAAAGTGAAAGAAAACGTGTGGTGTCAAGGTCCCATAAGTCTGAATCAGTTTGTTCATTCGTTACATGTGGTGTCAAGTTCCCATAAGTCTGAATCAGTTTGTTCATTCGTTACATGTGGTGTCAAGGTCCCATAAGTCTGAATCAGTTTGTTCATTCGTTACATGTGTTGTCATGGTCCCATTAGTCTGAATCAGTTTGTTCATTCGTTACATGTGGTGTCAAGTTCCCTTAAGTCTGAATCAGTTTGTTCATTCGTTACATGTGGTGTCAAGGTCCCATTAGTCTGAATCAGTTTGTTCATTCGTTACATGTGGTGTCAAGTTCCCATAAGTCTGAATCAGTTTGTTCATTCGTTACATGTGGTGTCAAGTTCCCATAAGTCTGAATCAGTTTGTTCATTCGTTACATGTGGTGTCAAGTTCCCATAAGTCTGAATCAGTTTGTTCATTCGTTACATGTGGTGTCAAGTTCCCATAAGTCTGAATCAGTTTGTTCATTCGTTACATGTGGTGTCAAGTTCCCATAAGTCTGAATCAGTTTGTTCATTCGTTACATGTGGTGTCAAGTTCCCATAAGTCTGAATCAGTTTGTTCATTCATTACATGTGGTGTCAAGTTCCCATAAGTCTGAATCAGTTTGTTCATTCGTTACATGTGGTGTCAAGTTCCCATAAGTCTGAATCAGTTTGTTCATTCGTTACATGTGGTGTCAAGTTCCCATAAGTCTGAATCAGTTTGTTCATTCGTTACATGTGGTGTCAAGGTCCCATAAGTCTGAATCAGTTTGTTCATTCATTACATGTGGTGTCAAGTTCCCATAAGTCTGAATCAGTTTGTTCATTCGTTACATGTGGTGTCAAGGTCCCATAAGTCTGAATCAGTTTGTTCATTCATTACATGTGTTGTCATGGTCCCATTAGTCTGAATCAGTTTGTTCATTCATTACATGTGTTGTCATGGTCCCATAAGTCTGAATCAGTTTGTTCATTCATTACATGTGTTGTCATGGTCCCATTAGTCTGAATCAGTTTGTTCATTCATTACATGTGTTGTCATGGTCCCATTAGTCTGAATCAGTTTGTTCATTCATTACATGTGTTGTCATGGTCCCATTAGTCTGAATCAGTTTGTTCATTCGTTACATGTGGTGTCAAGTTCCCATAAGTCTGAATCAGTTTGTTCATTCATTACATGTGTTGTCATGGTCCCATTAGTCTGAATCAGTTTGTTCATTCGTTACATGTGTTGTCATGGTCCCATTAGTCTGAATCAGTTTGTTCATTCATTACATGTGTTGTCATGGTCCCATTAGTCTGAATCAGTTTGTTCACTAAGTTCACTCTGGCGGCTGCGTAAGTACAAGACAATGGTGGTGATAGTCAGGTCCTTGGAGTCCCTGTCATCAATTATATTATAATGAATTGTTTTGAGATGGAATAATGATCACCTTGCGCAATATTTTGAAGGTGTTCAGTACCTTTGTCCGAGACGCTCCGTCCAGTCTCGCCAGATACGCCACATGTCAGCGGGTACAAACAATGGCGTAGATACAGTGGCGTAGCGAGGGTGTTTGGCGCCCGGGGACAAGATTCACGCCCGGGGACAAGATCCATTTTTAGCGCCCCTTTTTCTTTTTTTTCAACTCTCAAATCCATTATTTTCACCAATAAAATAATATCAAAGCACATTTTGGCGCCCCTAACTAGCTGGCGCCCGGGGACATCTGCCCCCCTGCCCCCACCACGCTACGCCTCTGCGTAGATAGCATAGTGGCTAATGCAGAGGAAGCCGTCCCTTATCTGAAAACTAGCCTTAGGGAAGGGAATCAGTTGATGACAAAAGGGCAAGTTTTGCAACGGCTGACTCCATATTGCTTGGTCACAAAGTGGGAAGGGTAGCAACGATGTGACGCACAAGGAGATCTCATAGAATCTCTCCGGAACACAATGCGAGGTGGGCTGAGAAAATATTGTGGGTGTCAGGGTCGGCGAGGAGAAGGGAACGGGTTTTTAAGGCAAACGTGTGGGCTATGAGTTTGTGAGGATTATATGTGAGTGTGAGACTAAGTGTGGCCCTGTCGCCATTGTCACTTGGACGAGACCCGTAGGCATCAGCACGGGTGATATTTTTAACCCGCTGTAGAAATGACTCCCTGGGAAAGACCTACACATCATTTGACACCCTATTAAAAGCATTGAGAATTTGTTGATATAACGTATTGAACCATTTAACGTCTGTTTATTTTGTGATAACGAGCGTGGCATTTTATGCACCCTGCGTGGTGTCAGTCTGTGGGTCCGTGATTGTGTGTATGTTAAAGCTAGAGTAGTAGTCAAACGATCGCCACATGCCGATGTAACTGTGGTGTCAGTATCATTATATAAGCCACGTCAAACTGATTATAGACGTGGCGCTCGGCGAATGAATTTTGTGGATAATCCATCTGCAATGATCAGACTTAGTGCAGGAGTTGTGGAAGCCGCGATGGTCCTTGAGAAATAAGTACGTGTTGACCTTCCCCAAACCATGGTCTAGTAACTAGTTAGTGCTTGCTAGTGGTGCTGTAAGCCAAGAGTTCAAATGTTGGGATGAACTTCGGTTTCGTTGTGAAGACGATGATATTGAAAGGAGTAGTTAGGGTAGACTTCGTGACTGTGAACTTAATCAAATGACAGTTGCACACCACTTGACAAATGTATCCTATCTGCTAGTTGCCAATATGCCAGACATCACACGATCATGTCTCCCCATGCATCATGAATCTATAGGTCAGATAAATTCCCGAATTCATTAGTGTTTACATATTCATTGTCCCTATGTAAAATCAATGGATTTTCCTGGTTCATGGGTACCTAAATTTAAAAAAAAGAAATGAAGAAAATCGAAGTCTTTATATTAGGGTGACCAAACGTCCCGTAAAAACGGGATTGTCCCGTTTTTTTAACGATTGTACCCGTTGTCCCTAAAGAGTCTCTCGGGACGCCTCAATGTCCCGTTTCTAAAACCAAACACATTTTTAAATCACTAAAACTTCCTAACTTATAATATAACTTCAAGTCATTTTTTGGCTAGCTGTGTAGCCAGTGCCAGTAGTGATGTAGACTCGTGTGATTGCTGAGCTGTTCCCCCTCCACCACTCTGAGTAAAAATACAACAGTATCCCTGCCATATTCACTGAAAAATTATTGTTTTCATCACAAAATGACAGTTGGCTCTGATAGCGCATCATAACACATGAGACAGTATGACTGTTGACTGTTGATGTTACTTCACCATATTTTTTTGCTTTATTTAAATGTTGCCATGTTATTGATTTGCTTGTGTTACAGTGTCAACATATTTTATCACATCAATGACCACTTTCTCTGAGTGACTGTTACGACAGTTGGCTCTGGTTCATTGGTTTGCCAATAAAGCTTCGATGTTATATTCACCATATATTCACGGCACTGAGCAGGAGATATGAAGAGCTTATAACTATTTACTCGTGTGTATGTCCTAGCAAGGATTTCATAATTACCAGTGGTTTATTGTTTCTGTCGCTAACTTCATATTTATGGACGCCATCATGGGAAGTATTTGATGCTTTCTAGATTGGCTGTCATGTGTAATGAATTTTCTTGTGCTGATGCTAATATACCTATGGGTGACCTCTCAATTTTTAATTTACGAATATTAAATATTAACTCAGTGTTTCATCCGGAGTAGAAGATTGATGATCCGACCTAAACTCCGACCATCGCCCTGATTCAACCCCCCCTCCCCATTTAAAAACAATGTAAATCACCAAATAAAAACAAGCAACTACAAACAGCGACAGCTGATCACTAGCGTCTCCACCACAACTGTGTACATTTAAAGTCCACCTACAAATTCGACATAACCAAAATAATGACACTCTCATCGTTGAATGCATTGAACGTTTTCTTAACGTGCAGAGAAAACTCTAATTATCTAGGTATACCAGTGTCGTTTTGTTTTTACACCTATTTTTTGGGTTGTCAAACTATGAAGTGATTATAAAAATTCCCTTTAGTGGGCTGAGACTAAAGAAACGGGACAAACCAATAGATGATGACATTACTTACGTTGTAGAATTTAAATCCACCAGGCTCCCTTCATGTCCGACACAGACACTCGAATGTGTAACTCTGACAGTTTGTCCCAGACAAATATCATGATTTAATCCCACTGCTACTTTGATGCCAGACTTGCCTCCCTCGTATAAGCGTGAGACCGACGTGTCTAATGAGAAGAATACAAGTTTTTCTTCCCCCCAGTTGACGGTGAGCACTGTCTCTAACCGGTCCGTACGTGAGCAGGGTATCCTAGTGTTCCCCGCGCGTGTGCTGGTTCAGAATGTAGCCACGGCTAAATGGGGGGGGGCGGCGCAGAGGGTGGTGGGTGGAGGGCATGGGATGGAGGGGGGAAATCCAATAACCCACCCCCCATTCCCGCTACTGATCACTAACTGTGCATATCATGCTATCCGCGTCCACACCAGCCCACCTCTTTAGGCACACAGTTCTTTGTCTTGCGTTCTCTCTCTTTATCTAACGGACGTATGCACACGTCACAGGTGACACTTAGGCAGTGTAACACTTAGACGGGGAAATTCTGTTTTTCCGGTTTGTACACCAAAAAAAGAAATGGAAGTCAAACCATGGTTTAATTTACTGTGGCTTTTAGTAATAAGTCAAACCATGGTTTAATTTACTGTGGCTTTTAGTAATAAGTCAAACCATGGTTTAATTTACTGTGGCTTTTAGTAATAAGTCAAACCATGGTTTAATTTACTGTGGCTTTTAGTAATAAGTCAAACCATGGTTTAATTTACTGTGGCTTTTAGTAATAAGTCAAACCATGGTTTAATTTACTGTGGCTTTTAGTAATAAGTCAAACCATGGTTTAATTTACTGTGGCTTTTAGTAATAAGTCAAACTATGATTTAATTTACTGTGGCATTTAGTAATAAGTCAAACTATGGTTTAATTTAATGTGGCATTTAGTAATAAGTCAAACTATGGTTTAATTTAATGTGGCATTTAGTAATCGACTCTGAGGGTACGTCCTCACCTAAACACTGGCATTTTTATGGAACGAATGATGACAGACTGACGAATAACGCCGAGAAGGAGATGTATTCTACTGTGTAGCTTCACCGACATTTTAAAGGATAATTCAGTTATTAGGAGACGTATTTTATCTTCCCCATTTAAGTAATTTAACTAAGGTAATACTATAGTAGAGGAGAGGATAAAAAGATAGCTTCTTATTAAATCCAGACACCTCTTCTATTCCCCTACCCACCCACGCACCCCTTCTATTCCCCCACCCTACCACATACCCCTTATATTCCCCCACCCTCCCACGCACCCCTTCTATCCCCCCACCCTCCCACACACCCCTTATATTCCCCCACCCTACCACGCACCCCTTCTATTCCCCCACCCTCGTACACACCCCTTCTATTCCCCCACCCTCCCACGCACCCCTTATATTCCCCCACATTCTACCACAAACAGCCAAATCTCTACGTCTCTATACACTAATCTCTCTTATAATTAAACGTTGTTTTTTTATTAGTTTCCCGTACATCGGTTTTTACATCGTGTGACCTTCACCTACGGGGAAAACCTTTTTTTTTTTACCTCTCACAGCCGTACTCCTCCTCCCGGCCCCTCTCACGATGCCCCTTTCGCAGGACCACTGCAGTGGTAATATCTCTATATGTTAACATCCACCATTAATGTGCTCACAGTAAACTGGGCGGGACCACTGCAGTGGTAATTTCTCTGTATGTTTACAGCCACCAATTATGTGCTCACAGTAAACTGGGCGGGACCACTGCAGTGGTAATTTCTCTGTATGTTGACAGCCACCAATTATGTG